CCCTCCCTCCCTCCCTCCCTCCCTCCCTTCCTTCCTCCCTTCCTTCCTTCCCTTTCTCATTCTTCTTCCTGGTGGCACAGTGGTTAGAATGCAATATTGCAGGCTGATTGTGCCCAGTGCCAGAAGTTCGATCCTGACCAGCTCAAGGTTGACTCGGCCTTCCATCCTTCTGAGGTCGGTAAAATGAGGACCCGGATTGTTGGGGGCAAATAGGCTGACTCTGTAAACCGCTTAGAGAGGGCTGTCAAGCATTGTGAAGCGGTAGATAAGTCTAAAGGCTATTGGTACAGACAGTCCTCGACTTAACAAACAGTTCATTTAGCGACCTTCGAAGTTACAACGGCACCGATCGTTTTTCAAACTTCCAATCCCTGCAGCATCTCCTTGGCCACGCGATCAAAATTCAGATGCTTGGCCACTGGTTCATATTTATGACCGTTGCTGTGTCCCAAGGTCATGTGTGATCCCTCTTTTGCGACCTTGTGACAAGCAAAATCAATGGGGGGGGGGAAGCCAGATTCATTTAACAACCGGGTTGCTGACTTACCAACTGCAGCGATTCACATGAATCAAGAAAGGTCGTCAAACGGGATAAAGCTCACTTATCGAGTGTCTCACAACGACAGAAATTGGAAGCTCCGTGGTCGTAAGTCGAGGACTATCTGTTTAAGCGCTATTGGTATTGCCGTTGGGCAGAATCCCACCCTAGAGCTCTCCGGGGTGATGCAACGGGGGGCTGCTTTTTTTCCTTTTCCAGCGTTGACCCATTTCCCCCCCCCCCCAAAGAAGCAGCTTCTCCCTGCCTTAGTGCCAAGCAGCCAGCCTGTTGGATTGATGCCCTGCATGAGTCAGGCTGCCTGTGGGGTGTGGACTTTCCCTGCTGCCACCCGCTTCTCTGAGGCCTCTTTGTAGGTAACAGAGGCGGCATTCATGCCACACTCACCTCCACCTAAGGCAGGAATTTCTGAGTAATGGGACTGGGGGTAGCTTGAATACTTTCCTGTGTATGAAATCTCCCCCACCATTCTATACCTCCCCCCCGCCTGCCCCCCTCTCTCTCTTTTTGCATATATCCCTGGAGAGGGGTTGCAGACATTTGTCTTCTTCCCACACCCACCCCAAGCAAAACCAAGTTGGATCTATTCAATCAATCCGAAGTAGAGCTGGAAGGGACCTTGGAGGTCTTCTAGTCCAACCCCCTGCTCAAGCAGGAGACCCGCCTATACAATTTGAGACAAATGGAGCAGTGTACAGGAAGTCCACAAGTCTTAAAAGTTGCCAGGTTTGGCACTCCTGGAGTTACAGCTCTGGGATAATAATAATAATAATAATAATAATAATAATAATAATAATAATAATAATAATAATAATAATAATAATAATAATAATAATAGTAGTAGTAGTAGTAGTAGTAGTAGTAGTAATAGTAATAATAATAGTAATAATAATAGTAATAATAATAATAATAGTAATAATAATAAAGTTGGAAGGGACCTTGGAGGTCATCAAGTCCAACCCCCTGCTCAGGCAGGTAACCCTATACCATTTCGGACAAATGGCTGTCCATCTCTTCTTGAAAACTTCCAGTGTTGGAGCATTCACCGCTTCTGGAGGCAGGTCGTTCCACTGGTTAATTGTTCTAACTGTCAGGAAGTTTCTCCTTAGTTCTAGGTTGCTTCTCTCCTTGATGAGTTTCCACCCGTTGCTTCTTGTCCTGCCTTCAGGCGCTTTGGAGAATAGCTTGTGCACTGGTGATAGCGGCTGTCCATTTATCCACCTCTGCCTGTCACAAGTCCTTGGGAAGGATTCAACACAAATGCCAGATCCAATCTAAACATCTGGCTGACTGCAACAAGCCATAATAACAATAATAATACATCAAAACATTATGACATCTTAAGTTCTTGGGAAGAACTGGTTGCAAATGAAGGTGAATACCAGCTAAAGAACAGGCACTAGCTATGTCACATTGTTATGTGTATTATAATTATAATACTATTTTTGTGGCACTAGGTGTATGCTGATCCAGGCTATTTGGACACCCTGACTCAGCTGCTGGGACCCTCCTTCCCCCCCAAGGGGGCAGAATGGAGTTAGAGGAGGGTTACAATGGAGTAAGTAATTGGCTGGGGTGTGCTTGCAAATAGGAGGGAGGGGTGTGGATGGATGGATGGATAGATGGATAGATAGATAGATGGATGGAGAGATAGTTAACAGACAGGCAGACAGACAGATTGACACAGATAGATGGATGACAGGGAGGGAGGGAGGGAGGGAGAGCGAGATAGATAGATAGATAGATAGATAGATAGATAGATAGATAGATAGATAGATAGATAGATAGATAGATAGATAGATAGATAGATGATAGATACGATAGGTAGATAGGTAGATAGATTGAGTAGGTAGGTAGATAGATAGATAGGCAGGCAGGCAGACACAGACAGACAGACAGACAGACAGACATGACAGGAAGGCGGATAGGCAGACACAGATGACAGGCAGACAGACAGATTGCAGACAGGTAGATAGACAGACAGACAGAATGTGAGAGAGGGAAGAGAGAAGACCAGTGCACTTGCATATAGGCGCTTTTTGATGCAGATATAGACATATTGTGTGTTTGTGCGTGCTCTTTTAAGTCACTCTTGACTCTTGGCAGCTATGTGGACAAGTCCCTGCTTTTTTCACGGCAACATATTTTGGAAGGGACTTGCTATTGTCTTCTTTCTAAGTTGAGAGAGACAAGTGGCCTTACCACTGGCTTTGTGCTTAAGCAGAACCGGAAGCCACACACTCTGAGCTTCTAGTCCAGTGGCTTTTAGCTGGTTCCTATTCTGTATTTTATTGATACTGAGTTTTCTGGGCTTGCCATCTTAACCTATCTGAAGGGTGCTGTGGGAAATTGGCTTTTAAGGTGTTTGTAAATTAGGTATATTAATTAATGATGGGGACAGGAAATAGGATTCCCTCCCAGAGCTTTTAATGGAACAATAGAGGGGATGGGAAAAGAGGGAGTAATGTGAATTTCTTCCGACAAATGGAATGTTTAGACCCCTTTTCCGGGAAAGAGAAAGACCCACTGGTTGAGGTGAGCTTGGGTAAATAAGAAGATCTTCCTAGATGTTGTTGCCCAACTTCAGCAACTTTAAGGTGTGTGCGTGTTTATTGGGGAATTCTGGGAACTGAAGTGACTGGATTTGAGAGAACCGTGGCCTAAATCAGGGGTCTCCAACTTTTTGGGTTCTGTGGACCACTGGCGGTGGCACCAGTGGCTTCACCGGTTTGGGCATTGGGGGGAGGGGGTGGTTTCATGCATGCAACCGAAATCCCACACGTGTGCAAAGGAAGCGTCACACCCTTGCCTGCTGCTTTGGTGGCCTGGTTCTCAACGGGCCGTGGCTCGGTAATAGGGCTGTGGCCCGGGGGTTGGGGATCCCTGGCTTAAATGATCCCGGGAATTTCTGATGTTTGTCTGTTTTTTTCCCCAGAGCTCAGCACTGGGAGCTCAAGGAGGCGTGGCTATGTCCATCATTGGCGCAGAAGATGAGGACTTTGAAAATGACATTGAACCTGTAAGTGGGGAAAGTAGCAGAACAAATGCAAGAGGGAACATAAGAAGGTTAAGGGGATAAAATGAGTCCCCTACAACAACGGCCCCCAAACTTTTTGGTACCAGGCTTTTCCGTGGACTGGAGGGGGTGGGGTTTTGCATGCTGCCTGCATCCTGCAGAGGGGTCTTTGCTTGCTTGCACGGCCCGTTTTTTGGCATGCCACGGACTGGTACTAGTCCATGGCCTGGGGGTTGGGGACCCCTGCCCTACCAGGAAAGATGGAGGGATTAGGTTGGGAAAAAGCATGGAAGAAGTAACATTATAACGCATACAGGTAGTCCCTCAACTTATGACAGGCGCTTAACAACTATTCAAAGTTACCACAGACTCCGAAAAATGGATAATAATAACAATAATAATAATAATAATAATAATAATAATAATAATAATAATAATAATTATTATTATTATTATTATTATTCAATTGCAAAAGGCGGCCTTACTAGGAACTGCTTCCATCCTGCGACGATATCTGTAGCACCATCAAACATCCACATCTGCCTATCCCAGGTCCTTGGTAAGGACTCGATAGGTAGACAAAATGCCAAATCCAGTCTGAACATCTGGCTGTGCAATAATAATAATAATAATAATAATAATAATAATAATAATAATAATAATAGTAATAATAAAAAAGTTGGAAGGGACCTTGGAGGTCATCTAGTCCAACCCTCTGCTCAGGCAGGAAACCCTATACCATTTTGGACAAATAGCTGTCCAGTCTCTTCTTAAAAACTTCCAGTGTTGGAGCATTCACCACTTCTGGCGGCAGGTTGTTCCATTGGTTAATTGTTCTAACTGTCAGGAAGTTTCTCCTTAGTTCCAGGTTGCTTCTCTCCTTGATCAGTTTCCATCCGTTGCTTCTTGTCCTGCCTTCAGGGGCTTTGGAGAATAGCTTGACTTCCTCTTCTTTGGGGCAGCCCCTGAGATACTGGAAGACTGCTATCATGTCCCCCCTCGTCCTTCTGTTCATTAAGCCAGACATATCCAATTCCAGCAACCATTCCTTATATGTTTTAGCCTCCAGTCCCCTGATCATCTTTGTTGCTCTTCTCTGCACTCTTTCTAGAGTCTCAACATTAACAAGGGACCAGATGTTGTAACATTAAGTTACAACATCTGGTCCCTTATGCAGCCACGTGATCCTGTTGGGGTGTTTGGCAATCACATTTACAGCCATCTGCAGTGCCCCGCAGTCATCTGACCATGATTTGTGATGTTTTTGCTCAGAGCTCAAGAGAGCACTAAGGACCCCATCGCTATTTCTGATTTTCCTATGTTGGGTTCTCTCCACAGTTCCAGCACCCGGACGCTCAAACCGGCTTGTTCCAAAACCTGGAGATCCTGATGAAGCACCCTGCCTACTTGATGGTCTTCATACAACATGTGGTGTTGCAGTTTGATTCAAGCCCTGTGGTGAGCTGACGCATCCGCCCTTGCGTTTTTTTTTTTAGTGCAGCTGCTCACTTCTCTTCCTCTTCCTCTTCCTCTTCCTTCCCCCCTGAACCAAGAACCTAACCACCATGAAGCACACACCCTCTCCACTGAAGAGGGTGAACCACTGAACTTTGGGGCCCCACAGGCACAGAATACACACATGTTTGTGCTGGTACTGTTCGCGTAGATGTGTTGGGCTGTGCAGTGGATTGAGTTCCAAGGCAAAAAAGTGCTGGGCTGTGGAATGCTGGGAATTGAAGGTCCACCCATTTTAAAGTTTACTAAGGTTGAGAAAGACTGCAATAGAAGACTCACTGATGCATTTCTTGCTGGACTGGATGAGTCTAGTATGACAGGAAGGGAAATTGCATGATTCTTGCCACCTTCTTTAAGTAACATTAAAGTGTGACATAGTATAGTGCTAGTAAAATTGGCAATGGACAACAACATTGTCATACAGCATCACGGTCTGGTTTGGAGGAATCACTGCTTCAGACAGGAAGGCGGTGCAGAGAGTGGTGAGAATGGCCAAAAAGATCATGGGCAGTTCCCTCCCTCCCATCCAGGACATAGCACAGAAGCGCTGCTTGAGCAGGGTCCGCAAGATTATCTGGGACCCTACACATCCTCTTCACGACCTGTTTTCCTTGTTACCTTCTGGGAGGAGGGGGCTTCGTGGTATCTGTAGCAGAACATCCAGATTCAGCCAGAGTTTCATCCCATACAGCATTAACTAACACTTGAGAGTTCGAAGGAGGAAGGCAATATATAAGTTCTGCCTGTCATAGATTATAAATAAACGATGCATATATATCCTTACACCCAGACATGTATACAAGTATCATACAAATCCACACACAGTACATACACAAAGTGAAAACTCTCGTCCGTTGATTTAAAGTAAAAACTACACACGGCAACACGGGTGTCATTTAAAAATGACAATAAAGGTTATCTTATCTTATCAGAGATTGTTGTCAAGAGCGACAAACATAACATACATCTTCAAATAGAAAAACAGCCTGGGACCCCATAATAAACCCAATATCCCTCCGTGTTTTCTAAGTTTGTGACTGCTAATTATTTCCTTTCAAGATTGCTAGAGAGAGTGGGTAAATCTTCAATCCCAGTTGCGACAACCGTCTTGATTTTTCAACTCGCTTCCTCACCCCACTTGTACGATGGGTGGACTTCAATTCCCAGAATTCCCCAGCCATAACTACAGATGTACTCTGGGAAAAGCTACTCAGCTATTCCAAGCTCCGGTGCCTTTGGAAAGCAGTCCCTCCCTCCAGACTACCTTCCACCTTCCACACTTTTCTTTTATTCTCCACAAAGTAGACCTCTAGCATCGCTGCGAAATTAGGAAAAAAAAAATGGCCAGATAAGGAAGTTTTACAAATCTCAACTAGAAGTCGAGCTCTCCTTTTTTTCAATAGTGGTAGAAGAGAATATTTATAGCTCAGGATTGACCTGCAGTGTCTTTGGTGCTCTCTCAGCTTGGTGAATTTTCTTGCAGACGTTTCATGACCAAACTAGGTAACATCATCAGTGTTAGAAGGGAGTGGGGTTTGCACAATGGAGGAGAAGGAGAAAGGTGGGAGGAGGAGGAGGAGGGAGGAGGATGACAGTGGGGCCTTTGGTGCTCTTTGAGCTTGGTAGTTTTCTTGCAGACCTTTCATGACCAAACTAGGTAACATCATCAGTGCTGGAAGAGAATGGAGTCTGTGGAGTAGAGGACGGTGGGATCCTTGGTAGTCTCTGAGCTTGGTTGTTTCTTGCAGACATTTTACCCAACTCATCAGGGCCAGAAAGGGATTGTGGTTGCTCTCTGTGTTTGTCTCTGTTCAGAGAGCAAGCAAATCCGACTCTCTTCTAGTACTGATGATATTACCTAGTTGGGTAATGAAACGTCTTCAAGAAAAAAAACACAACCTCAGTCTTTTCAGTAGCTTTTTTTTTTTTGGTTTCCTTTAATATCTTCTTTCCTTGTAGCTCTGTTACCTGCACGTGGACCTCATCCTAAACCGCCTTGGGCCCAAGGAATCCAAGAAGCAATTTGTGGATTTTTGCCACGCCTTCTTAGACAAAACTGGGGTGAGTAGACTCTAGCACAGGGGTCTTCAAACCTGGCCCTTTTATGACTTGTGAACTTCAACTCACGCGTGCCCGGCTGAGGAATTCTGGGAGTTGAAGTCCACAAGTTTAAGTTTAAGTTTATTGCATTTATATCCCGCCCTTCTCCTGGTGGACTCAGGGCGGCTTACAAGTCATAAAAGGGCCACGTTTGAAGACCCCTGCTCTACTAGGAAGACCTTTTGAAGAAATCTTCCACCCAAATCTTTTGATAATTGGTCATGAGGGCAGGTTCGTTTTGTTTGCCTTTCCAGGTCAGATTTATACCATTTGTTCTCATTGCCCTGGTTTACAGGGTGGTAGGAACGTAAAGGCTTCAGATAGTCTTCATGATTGATAGTTGCTTTCTCTTCGGTTACTGCATTTTGATCTGTTTCTTGCGTTCTCTTTATCTCTTTCACAGCTGCTGAGAGTCCCTGTTCCAAATGCTGTGCAGTTTGAACTGGGTAAGAGCCAACTTTCATGGGACGGTATGTGGTGTGATCTGAACCAAGAGTTTTAACAAGTGGACCAGATGTGAACTGCAAAAATCCAGATGGCCACCAGATGGCAGCAAAGCATGCAGGTTTTCTGAATCTCTTTGCTGCTCTCTGGTGGTTGATTTTCTCAGCCTAGACGAGATTGACCTAAAGATTGTGTAGCTTCTGCTGTGTTATACTCCAGTATTACTAACTGGATATTAGGGTTTTGTTGGCCGTATTAGCTGGGAGTTATGGGAGTTGCAGTTTGAGCACATCTGGAGGGACATCCCGTTGGAGAAAAACTGATTTAAGCAGTTATTTGCATAAATCTCTTTTGTTTGGTGCTGTGCGCACAATTCTTTCCTTTGTAGAACATATTCTGGCAACTGGGAAAAACAAATAGTCTATGGTTGTTCTTTTGGCCAGAGTGACTCATGTAAAATCTGGTTTAAATTGTGAATTCAATTGAAAAATGGAACTCTTTCAGTTCAGATATTTGAACAGAATTCTTAACTTGGATTGGTTTCGTTTGGCTTTCCAGATCAGTTCAGAAATATATATTCTTTCAGCTCATTAGTTCAGTCCACACTCATCACACTGAGTGACACTTCAGTCCGGAAAGTGATTTGGAGTATTAAATCACCATTAAATCTTTGAATCCAATATTGGTCAATCTTACTTTTCCCCATTCCTGCAAAATTGTAAAAAAGCCAGCGGATTTCGGGTGGCGTAATTGAATCCGGGGGTTTTGTTGCAGCTCTGCTAATTATGGTTTGTTAGATTGTTTACATTGAAAGAGTAAAGTTTTGGTTCATTTGGGTGCACGTATTTCAGCTGCCTGGAGGGATGGCTAGGGAATTCTGGGAGTTGAAGTCCACAAGTCTTAAAAGTTGCCAAGGTTGGACACCTCTGAAATTCTAGACAGAAGGAAAGATGAAAATCCCCCTTGCACCCTTGAAAGTTAGTGCCCACTTGCTGCTGGGTGAACACACACGGCTGAGGGTCCCTAGGATTGCAGGGGCAGGCATGACCGCCCTGGATCCACACACAATAATTGTGTTAACTTTCTGCAGTGGGGCAAGACCCGCGGCGGGTTCAGCTGCTGTTCCAATCCGCCGACTTTGATCCAAGCTGCAGGTCCCACCCACTTGCTAAACTTCCCCATCTCTGCCAAAGCCTCTCCTCTCATCTACCCTACACACACACACACACACACACACACACAACCCCTTGGTTTTGCTACAGCTGCTGGCACGGGTGAAGCTAAATGAAAGACAGGAAGCTGAAGAACAGTGGGACAGCTGCTGTTTTCCTGCCAACAATTAGCTCATCTCATCTGAGTTCCCCCCCCAGCCATGCAGAGAAGGACGGGAGCCTTGTGTGTGTGTGTGTGTGTGTGTCCGTCCATAGGGCCAGCTGGTTCCATAGCTTCTGAGTGTCACCTAGCGGCCACACCTGCAGATTGCAACACCATGCCACACACTTGTGGGTGAGCACACATACCAACAACACATGCTCCGGAAGACTGTTTTTTTTTGTTGTTTTTTTCACTCAAAAGAGATCCTGAAATGGCGGGGTGGGGGGTGGTGGTGTTAGGAGGCCAGTTGGAAGCTCTGTAGGCAGAGCATAAATCTCATTTCCGGGGTGGGGAAGACCTTTGAGCTGTGTGCAGAAGAGCTCCTTCCCCAAAAGACTGGGGAGGGGAAGGGCTGAGCGACATCCTGTCAGCGTCTTCTGTAAGGGAGGTCTCTTAGGTGTACCAAGAGGAAAAAAAAGAGAAGAGGCAGAGGTTCCTGGTTTAGAAAAGGTGGCAAGAAACTCACATTTTATCTTGTTGCGCATTTAATTACTTACTTATTTATTAATTTTAGGGGTTTTTTAAAAATTATTTTTTATAAACAAGTCAAGGCTGGGAATATGCCTAATTCTCCATCCTCCTCTTATTTTCCCCACGACAACGACCCTGTGAGGTGGATTGAGCTGAGAGAGAGAGAGAGAGAGAGAGAGAGAGGAAGCGGCCCAAAGTCACCCATCTGGCTTTCAGGCCTAAGGCAGAACTAGAATTCACCGTCTCCTGGCGATGGGTCCAAAGTCGCCCAGCTGGCTTTCACGCCCAGGGCAGGACTAGAACTCATGGCCGCCTGGTTTCTAGATTGGCGCCTTCACCGCTAGACCGGGTTAGAATAAATGCGTATTAAATAACTGCAGATCTTTAGCAAGTGGTAGAACGCTAATCCTGGAGGGAGAAGTGAGAATTCTCCAACCAGCCTGCTGGAAGTTGAAGCCCAAACATTTTTTAAAGTTGCCGAGGTTGAAAAAAGCTGCCAGAACTATTAATAGCTTCCTTTCCCTTGCCAATATTTTCCCCATGTTCGTATTTTTGATCTGAGGGACCTCTTTGGGCCTCGCCAGATCACCGCCCTATGGATCTCAACGGAGGAGATCAACTGCTTCAAACCCCGGAATTGTTCCCTCCGCCATGTCTGCCAACAGCTGCACCACCCTATCTCCGAGACCGCCTTCTGCCGCAGATCCCCTCCCTCAGACCGGTACGCTCCCACAGAGCGGGCCTCCTCAGGGTGCCGTCGGCCAAGCAATGTCGGCTGGCGACCCCCAGGGGGAGGGCCTTCTCTGTGGGTGCCCCCACCCTCTGGAACGAACTACCCCCCGAGATTCGGATGATTCCGGATCTTCTTGCTTTCCGTCGCGCCCTCAAGACATGGCTTTTCCAGCAAGCGGGCCTGACCTAGGGAGGATTTTATTTGGGGTTTATTTTTTAGCAATTTGACAGAGACACAACTTTAAAATTTGATTTAATTCGGTTTTATCGGGGGGGGAATGTATTTATGTTTTGTTTTAAATATGTTGTGCGCCGCCCTGAGTCCCGTTGGGAGAAGGGCGGCATATAAATTAAATTTATTATTATTATTATTATTATTACAAATTCTAGCAAGTTTTTTTTTCTGCTCCAGGGACAAGTTCCTTTATGGGAGCAGTGGCATAGGAGCAGCTGCAAACAATTTGCCTTGCTTGTGCTGTGTTTGCACAAAATCACAGGCCCGGGTCCCTCCCCTGGAACGGACTTCAAATCCCCCGATGGTTCTCAGCTCACCACAGCGGACCAAGCCCTCCTATTTATCCCGCAGGCCAGTTGCCAGGACAGCTGGGAAAGCTTTGGAAGGATTTATTCTAAGTTTATGTCCGTGTCCTGTCTTTTGGTCTGCAGTCTTTTTTTTATTGCTCTTTTTGTACAAATATAGCAGCAGAAATATCCCTCTGGACTTGGAAGGCCGCTAACCACAAAAAGCAAGTCCCAAGCGATGCAGTGTTTTCACAGGGGCTCTTTGTGGCAGGACGAATTTAGACACGGGACGGAGGCAGGAGCAAATCTCCACCAGAAATCTTTGGGAATGGTAGCCATGTTGGAAATGGATTCTTTTTTTTTTTTTTTTTTTTTTTAATTTAATTTATATGCCGCCCTTCTCCCGACAGGGACTCAGGGCGGCGCACAACATATTTAAAACCAAAACATATATACAATCCCCCCCTTAAAACCGAATTAAACCGAATTTTAATGTTGCGTCTTCCGAATATTTAAAACCCAATGTAAAATCCACCCTAGGTCAGGTCCGCTTGCTGGAAAAGCCATGTCTTGAGGGCGCGACGGAAGGTAAGGAGATCCGGAATTATCCGGATCTCGGGGGGTAGTTCATTCCAGAGGGTAGGNCTCTGTGGGAGCGTACCGGTCTGTGGGAAGGAATCTGCGGCAGAAGGCGGTCTCGGAGGTAGCCGGGTCCTATGCCATGGAGCGCTTTAAAGGTGGTAACTAATACCTTAAAGCGCACCCGGATTCTTTTTGAGTGTCGAATTGACCAAAGTTTTGCAAGCTTTGGCTAGGTTAGGGCTGGGAAACTTGAGGTTGCCGATAGAAGGGTTGAACTGTGGGGTCTCTGGTGCCCTGTGAGATTGGTGGTTTTATTGCCGACGTTTCATTACCCAACTAGGGAACATCATCAGTGCTAGAAGGGAGTGGGGTTTGTGGCGTGGAGGAGGAGGAGAATTGTGGGCTCCTTAATACTTTCTGAGCTTAGTAGTTTTCTTGCAGACGTTTCATTACCCAACTAGGGAACATCGTCCGTGCTAGAAGGGAGTGGGGTTTGCAGAATGGAGGAGGAGAAGGGCTGTGGGGTCCATGGTGTCCTTTGAGTTTGGTTGTTTTCTTGCAGATGTTTCATTAGACCAAACTAGGGAACATCATCAGTGCTAGAAGGGAGAGTCTTAAACCACGACTGCTGAACTCTGGCTGTGAGTTCTAGGTTGTCTCTTCTTTTCTGATCGCAGACCGAAACAGACCTGATCTCATCCCGGAAGACCAACTGAAAAAATATTTGCAGGACATCCAATCTTTTCAAGCAACGGAGATCTCCCAGCAGTTGGAGGACTTCAGGTTTGCAATCTGCAATTCTCAAGAACCCCCCCCCCCCCAAAAAAAAAGCCTTCACTGAAGCTTCCAACAATCAAAGTCACAAGCAAGAGGTCACAAATACCGGCCATGGGACATTGTGCTTAATGGCCACAGGGGTTTCACTTAACGATGGCAACCGGCATTGCCAGGAATGCTGTCGCTAAGTGATACGACCGCCTCACTTAATGATGGAAATTCCAGTCTCAACTGCCGTTATTAACGGAGGACTGCCTGCAGTTGGGTCAAACAGTTTTAAGAACCACTGTTTGCAGAAGGATTTAGCTAATCTGGTCAGGGATTGTGCAGCAGGGGTTCAAATGAAGTCAGAGATGCTGACCTGAGCTTGTAATTTTATACAAATAAATATATTTAAAATCTGTATTTACAGCAAACAAGATAGGCAAACGGGAGCATTGTGAGGTAAATCACAGGGCACGCAGAAGAAAAAAAGGCGGGAAAAAATGGGAAACTCTCCTTTTACACCCACAGTAACCAGTCACAGCACAGATTGCCTCACACAGGAGCCAGCACTCTCCAGTCAATCACAACTGTGTGTTCTGGCTCACTGTAACAACCCCATTGCTCCAGCTCCTAAATTTAAATATCTTAACAAGGCTTTTGGTTCCAACAGCTAGAGAAATAAGTGACTGAGTTCATTGTAAGGATGGATTGGGTTGTAGATTCAAAGAGGAAAATTAGGATAGAAAAGAATAAAATAGAAATAGAATGGAATTGGAATTGGAATTAGAATAGAATAGAATAGAATAGAATAGAATAGAATAGAATAGAATAGAATAGAATAGAATAGAATAGAATTAGAAATAATAGAATAGAATTAAGAGATTATAGAATAGAATAAGAATAAGAATAGAATAGAAATAGAATAAGAATAGAAATGGAATGGAATAGGATAGAATAGAATAGAATTAGAAATAATAGAATAGAATTAAGAGATTATAGAATAGAATAAGAATAGAATAAGAATAGAATAGAAATAGAACAAGAATAGGAATGGAATGGAATAGAATAGAATAGAAATAATAGAATAGAATTAAGAGATAGAATAGAATAAGAATAGAATAGAAATAGAACAAGAATAGGAATGGAATGGAATAGAATAGAATAGAATTAGAAATAATAGAATAGAATTAAGAGATTATAGAATAGAATAAGAATAGAATAGAAATAGAACAAGAATAGGAATGGAATAGAATAGAATAGAAATATAATAAGAATAGAATAAGAATAGAAATGGAATGGAATGGAATAGAAAGAAATAATAGAATAGATTACAGAATAGAATAGAATAGAATAGAATAGAATAGAATAGAATATTTTGGTGTACAGGTAGTCCTCAATTTACGACAAATTCTGGGATCAGAATTTCCATTACTAAGTAAGGCGGTGGTTCAGTGAGTTGTGCCCCAATTTTACAACCTCTTTTTTCCCATGGATATTATGCTACTCGAATAAAAGATCCTTTAAGGTAAACAATGCCTCGAAGTTCTTGTGAAGAGCTTCATCTGTCGGAACCACGACACCAGGTTTGAGACCTGACCACCGCATGATGAGGTGAGCTCCCGTTCCGTGCTTCAGCTCCTGCCCAACTAGCAGTTGGAAAGCATGCAGATGCAAGTAGATAAACGGGTACCACTTTAGTGGGAGGGTAACAGAAGTCTGTGTGCCTCAGCGTAAAGTCATGCTGGCCACATCACCACAGGAAATATCTTTGGACAACGCTGGCTCCCTCAGCTAAGAAATGGAGATGAGCACCACCCCCTAGAGTTGGACATGACTGGACAGGGGAAACCTTTAGGTTTATGTTGTACAAACTCAGCCTGTTGTACGCACAATCTTAGATGTCTTCGGACAGGCATGGGCAAGCTTAAGTTAGGAAAAGTATTTGCACAACTCGCTGAGTTTGGTTAGTTTCACACTTAATTAGGTTTCTCCGTAGCTTAGCATGTTGTGCTCGGGGCTTTGCTGATGACTCCAAGCTTTTGTGCCAACGCTGGAAATGGATTTTAATTCCGTTGAATTCATCTGTTAATTCCATCCAGTGGACAGAGCTCGACTGCCTGTTCTTTCTTTCCGCAGGGAGAAAAGGAAAATGGGAATGACTCCAGGAGAGAAGGAGCTTTTTGAACTGGAAGGCTATCGGACCAAGGACAAAGGCATCAGAGAGGCCAAAGAGAAACAGCTGGCGGAGCAGCTGTTGGTCAAACTGGAGGAGATGCAGTGAGTGAAGTTCTCCTGACTTACTGTTGTGCATGGACTGTTCGCTTGCCCTTTCAGCTTCCCCCTTCATCATAGCAGAGATGCCGTTCCTTCTTGGACGGTGTGCTAGCTATGGTCAAAACTTTGCACCCCTCTTCTTGCACCCCTGAACCCCTTCTGCAAGCCTTCATCTCTTCCAGACGCCATCTTGATTCTAAGTTGCCATCATACTTGGGAAGAGGGTCTTCCACATCCATCACAGCAGAGTTGGAAAGAGTCCTAAACGCCTCCACACCTTGCTGCAGGTGTCACCCTCGGGTTTATGGACCCACGTGGAGGATTAAGTCTGTTCTATTGGGGGAGCCTGTAGCTGGGCTGGGGCAGAAAACACCTCTCAATCCTCAAAAACCAAGGAGAGAACCAACTTAGAACTAAGGAGAAACTTCCTGACAGGACAATGAATCAGTGGAACAACCTGCCTCCAGAAGTTGTGATGCTCCAACACTGGAAATTCTTAAGAAAAGATTGGACAACAATTTGTTGTCTGAAATTGTATATAGGCTTTCCTCCCCTGAGCAGGGGGTTGGACTAGAAGACCTCCAAGGTCCCTTCCAACTCTGTTAGTCTGCAACCATTTAGCTTTGAGTAGCTGTCCCTGCCGGTCTACCTTCATAGTGGACCATCCTCTCTTCTATTCCAGGGGCAGATCCCATCCATGTTTTCTATTTCAGGAAAGACCCCCTCCCTGCCAGCTGGGATCTCCCGTCATAGCCCTTATTTCCTCCCATCCTTTTTTTCCCAGGGTGGAAGCCTCTGGTTCTGGCAGCCATCCCATCAGGGCTGGGATGAGAGTGGCGAGCCAGCCAGATCATCAGTAGCGTCCCTGGCAAGTCCCTGCTAGATAATAGGATCCAGCTGGCAAAATGGGAGGAGAGAGGGGGGGGGGAATGTTCCCCACCCATCCCAGGATGTTGCCTCTGGTTGCATCATCCTTGCCGGCTGTATAAACGCCCCTGGCGGCCCCTTCCCCCTTCAGTTGCTGTATGCCACTCCATCCAGCAGTCACTTTCTGCTCTAGACAGAACATGTTTATTTGCCTTTTGAATACTTTTCTGCTTCTGCTGAGCAAAAATGGGGCGTTGCTACCGGTAAGTTTTCCAGAAACGAAAAAGGGGTGGGGGGTGGGCAAGGGGCATAAGACGGGTGGCTTGGAGAGTCTGCTGTCTCGGAGGGAGAAAGGGGGCATCGCTGTTGTGGGCAGAGCCAGGTATATTATTATCTGTCAGAAGCTTTGTACTACAACTCCCATTAGCCCCAGCCAGGGGCAAGGGATCGTGGGCCCCCAAACATCTGGCCGTAGGTGGTTTGCGTTCTCTCTATCCTGGGAAAGCAGACTGAATTGTTAAGAGTGGGGTTTGTGTGTGAAGGGTTGAAATGTCCACCTCCTCGCAGCAGCGCTGTAGGCCAGCTGTTAACCTCTGGACAAACAGCTGGATCCACGGGATCCAAACATAACCCAGATGTGTGCATCACACCCTGATTTTTTTTCCCCCTCTCTCTTTTCTCTCTCCATGGATTCCAGCCTCACCATTTCTGCCGACGAGGAAAAAAGGTATGCAACCGGCAGGTGCAGAGTGGTTTGTGTTTGTGTGCTTGTGTGTGTGTGGTGTGTGTTTCTGGAAGGGGTGTGTGGGCGGAAGTACACTTTTGCACTCTCTTAAATGCAACCGGATGTGGCTTTGTAGCACATTGAGTTCTGTGGCTCAGGAAGTCAGGAGGGAGGGGAAGACGAGAAAAGTCATTTAACCCTTCCAGGATTGGCTCTTGAGAGAGGTCCCAGCTGCTTAAAAACATCGGAATCCGCTTTCCCCAGCGCCAGTCCATTTGCTCACACTACAAATGGTCCTCGGCTTACGACCACAACTGAGCCCAAAATTTCTGTTGCTAAGGGAGACGGTTGTCAAGTGAATTTTGCCCCCTTTTATGACCTTGCCACAGAGGTTAAGTGCGCATGGCCTCCCCATTGACTTTGCTTGCTAGAAATTCCCAAAAGGGGATTCACACGACGCCGGGACACTGCAACCGTCGTAATTACGAGTCAGTTGCCAAGTGTCCGAATTTTAATCACGGGGACGCGGCAGCGGTTGTAAGTGTGAAACACGGTCATAAATCACTTTTCCCAGTGCTGTCGTGACTTTGAACGGTCACAAAATGAACTGTTGTAAGTCAAAGACTGTGTGTAGTCGGGAGTGTCTCTCTGGATGCATGAACTGACTTGTTGACCCTTCGATGGTGAGCCGGACCAGACTTTCCCAAATCTCAACCAGGGATAATGGGTGGAGATGATGGGAGAGGGAATCCCACCCATGGGATCAGCAGGATGCTGGAAGCAGCTGGTCCAAAAAAAAAAATGCTTTTGAGGTTTCAGTGTCAGCAAGGAAGGGGGTAAGAACAGATTTGTGAATTGGAGAGTGTCTCAAGCTCTTTTTTTGGCCAAATCTTTCTTAGATTTTCCACATGCGTATGGATATTTAGCAAAAAATTAAGTGAAATTTGTTAATAACTCTTGGAGCTGGAAAAAGGAAGTAATGCGAGAGAAGTCAAAGCAAGGCTCGTTTATTCCCTGTTGTATATATGTATTGAGTCCCTGTTCAATTAAGTGGAGTTGATTCTGCGCTTGGTTGTGTCTTTTGAAACAGACACTGCTTTGAATCCTCTCACCTGGTGGCCTTGCGGTTTTGCGTTGCGTGAACCTTAACAATCGTTGCTGTTTTTCTTTTCCTCCCGTTTAGCTCTGCCATATTTACCGCCATTGTCACGTATATGAAGCATCTGGGGGTTAAGACGAAGACAGCTGATAACAAGAAGTCCAAAGCAAACTTTTTCCGCAAAAAGGTAGGCTTCGGAGCGTAACAGAGTTGGAAGGGACCCTGGAGGTCTTCTAGTCCAGCCCCTTGCTCAAGCAGGCTTTGAAATAATTGGCGCGCCGGGACAAGATAGAATTAGATCCTTAATGCAAAAGCTCTCTTTGGGATTCAGGCCAGGACGGTGCTCAAGAACTGAGTTGACAAGCTGTCCTTCTGCAACTCACAGCTGTTTCTTTATTGCTCAATTTTGGCAACATTGAGACATGTGGACTTCAACTCCCAGGATTCCCCAGCCAGCATGGCTGGCTGGAGAATTCTGGGAGTTGAAGTCCACAGGTTTTAAAAGTTGCCAAGCTTGAGAAACACTGCTTTGTAAGTAGTCCTCAACTTAACGACCATAATTGAGCCTAGAGTTATGATCATAAATCAGGGTGGTCATTAAGCAAGTGGTCACATGACTGTATCCCATTGTACGATCTATTTTGGGGCAGGCATTAAAGCGAACGCCCCAATTGTTAAGCAAGTCCATTTCAGCCAATAAGTGTTTTGTGCTGGAAACCAGCAGTAAATAACAGTTTCCAGCAAAATATGGGACATTGTCCAGTTGCCAAGCACTCAAAATGTGATCGTTAAGACCGTGGAAGGGTGGCCAAAACCACGTTGTAAGTAACTCTGCAGAGATCCATCCTAAACTTCGAACGGTCGCTAAGCAACCTGTCTTAAGTTGAGGATTACTTGTATAGAATTCCAATTTGGCAGAACTGGAAACTGGCTGGAACCAGTCCTGTTCCTGGTAGATGGTTGGTTTGTGAGACTTCCTATCCCTTCCATCCCCTATAACTAAGCAGTTTGCAGTCTGGGGTTTTATTTATATGGCCACCTATATAAATGGTGATTCTGGGCAGCTTACAAACAATTTTTAAAAAGCCAATATAAAAGAATAAAAAAACAGTAACCCCTCCACCCCTCTCTGGTGACAATCAAACGAACCACTTGATCCCCCAGGCCCATTGCCAGAACCAGGTCTTCAGGGCCTCATGAAACAGTGTCAAAGGGAGGACCAGTCTAATCTCTGTGGGGATGATGTTCCAAAGGGAGGGAGCCATCACAGAGAAGGCCCTTCTGGGTCCCCCCCCAGATGTACCTCCCTAGGAGAGGGGACCCCGCAACATTCCCTACCTCCCTGCTCTGGTGGGTTGGGTGAATGTAACTGGGAAGAGACGGTCCTTCATATAACCTGGCCACGAAGGACTTTAAAGGCAAAAACCAGCCCCTTGAATTGAACCCAGAGCCAGTGCAGCTTCTGCAGGAGAGGTGACACACGTAGGATTGGGAAAATAGGTGACTGATTCTCTTCTCTGTCTGATCCAGATTTCAGGGACCAAGAAACCAGAGGAAGCTCTCAAACCAAAAAAAGGCTTCAGCATTTTGGACCCAGCCCGCTGGAACCGTGGGGATTCCCATTGTAAGTACGCAAAACAAACTCGGGGATTTCCCCAAACCCCCTTTAATTAACTTGCTATCCTAAACCCCCAATTGTCAGGTTTCCTTAGGATGGGGGCGGTCTGCAGTCAGCTGTGGCCCCGTGCAATCTGAGCCACTCCTTTGAGGTTCTTGATGTCTCCCCAGGATCTAACGGTCCAACTTCAGCTAGTCCTCAACGTTACAACTATTTATTTAGTCGACCATTTCAGTTGCGACAGCACTGGAAAAAGTGATTTAGATTTAGTTTTCACGCTTTATGACCGTTGCAGCATTCCCGTGGTCGCGTGATCAAAATTCAGGAACTTGGCAACTGGCCTGTATTTATAAGAGTTGCACTGTCCCGCAACTGTCATTTGATGATCCCTGTTTGTAAACTTCCCAGCCGGTCTTTGACAGGCAAAGTCAGTGGAAGAAGCCAAATTCATTGAATGACCGCACGATTCACTTAACAACTGGGTCATAAAGTAAGGCAAAACTCCCTTAACAACTGACTTGCTTAACAATGAAAATTTGGGGCTCAGTTGTTGTAAGTTGAGGATTATCTGTACAGCAGTTTTTTTTTATTTTAAAACAAATAACAGTAAAACTGACCGTCGAGTAAGCTTAACAGAAGTTGCAATGGGGAAGATCTCCTCCTTCAAGCAGGCAGAGCCCCACAATTCCAGAAATATTTCCATGACGTTCTTTTGCAAAAAAAAATTATTATTTTTTCCTTACGTAGCTCTCCCTCATGCCCCTGGAAAAAATGTCGCCAGACAGTCCTTACATAGCTTAAACCAATGTTCTTTCAGGAAAAATAAAAGTCATTTGGACTACATCTGGATTTAGTCCAGTCTCACTAGGTGCCAGCACTAGCTTGCAACTCGTTCTAGGGTCAACCTCAAAGGAGTCTTCAAAAGCATCCTTTGGAAACTGGCTAGTTTCTTCTTTTTCTTCTTCTTCTTCATTTTTTTTTTGGAAAGCTTGTGGTTACTGTTGCTAGGCAAGTAAAGAAAACTAATTCCAACAGTTGATCCATTTGTGTGCATCAGATCATCTGGTTGGTGAGTCTGGCCAGAATCAATTTGGGACAATACAGTAGCTAGGAAGGGATTAACGTGACATCTCTTTCCCCATCGTTCTCCATTATATTTTTTTTTGCTGCATTTTTTGTAGATTCTGATTACAGACAGCCCAAACCTGAGGGTGAAGGTACTAGCACCCCACTTTTTTTCTCCTGTTACCAGCTCTGTAGTAACGCATGGCACCCCGTGTACCCATCCATCCTTCTGATCAGGAAGCCATATAGAACTAACATCCGCCACTAACTTTTTAATTCACTGTTGCACTCGCCCATCAAGTAATATACTAATGAGAATCATACACGTGCCTACTACAAAAGTTCATCACACCCTGTCACATTCCCAGACAAAGTTCTTGGCATGCTCACTGTGTGCTCCTAACTGTCTGTCTGTCCCTCTGGGTCCCGCGTTGAATCAACGACGAGGGGAATAAATCACAGATTCTATCGTTTTTCTCTATGGCTTATGCACAAATTAAGCACTTGCTCCGTTTTATTTGCCAGGGTGAATTCACCTTATATGTAGATAATTAAAATTAGGGATCAAACTTTGGTGGTGGTGGTGGTGATAAGAAAAAACAAACAAACAAACACACTTGTCCTTCTCAGTATTTCAATTTTGCACAGCTTGGTTGCCTGTTCGATTCCGGCTTAGCTGAACTTTCTCAGTCCCGCTGTTAGTTTCCTTGGCATCTGCCTAAAACTGAATGTGACTGTTTTTCCAAGCAGAGTACTTTTAAACCAGATTTTATGTCCCAACGGTGCTTTTTCAAAAGGCAACCTGAATAGTGCAAATGGGTGTGGAACCATGCTTGGAACTGCTGAAAGGGCTGTGTTGTAAACAGGACACTATTCAGGTGACCCCGAGGACACAGATAAATCTCCAAGTGGCCTCAACAACTCTCAGAAAGAGCGCTAATGGCCAGATGACTGCAAGGAATATAAATCCTTCCATTCTCCACCGTTCAGTCTGAATCGAAGAAGCTTCTTGGATGAGGAGTGAAACGTCTTTAAGGAAAAACCAAGTCCCAATTGCCTTTTGAAAAAGCACCTTTGGGACAACCATGAACCTGGATGACTGAGAATCTCCGTAGATGTGGGTGAACGCGAGGAGGTTACATGAATTCCAGCAATTCATGTAAAAAAGATGCGGAGACTCTAGAAAGAGTACAGAGAAGAGCAACAAAGATGATTAGTGGGCTGGAGGCTAAAACATATAAGGAACGGTTGCTGGAATTGGGTATGTCTAGTTTAACAAAGAGAAGGACGAGGGGGGACATGATAGCAGTGTTCCAGTATCTCAGGGGCTGCCCCAAAGAAGAGGGAGTCAAGCTATTCTCCAAAGCGCCTAAAGGCAGGACAAGAAGCAACGGGTGGAAACTAATCAAGGAGAGAAGCAACCTAGAATTAAGGAGAAACTTCCTGACAGTTAGAACAATTAACCATTGGAACAACCTGCCTCCAGAAGCGGTGAGTGCTCCAACACTGGAAGTTTTTAAGAAGAGACTAGACAGCCATTTGTCCGAAATGGTATAGGGTTTCCTGCCTGAGCAGGGGGTTGGACTAGATGACCTCCAAGGTCCCTTCCAACTTTATTATTATTATTATTAAATGGAATATAGAAACAATATATCCCCGTGTGCCTTAGGCAGAAACGTCCTGATGTTCTAACAGCTCTCCTGTGACCTGGTGAAGTGGTCTCTTTGCTTGAGGCAGCTTGCAGCTGGCTATTTTCATAAACATCTCAAGAACCTTTATTAATCCGGGAACTGACTTATTATGTGCCATGGAATGGTAATTGTAAACTAGAGTTGAGCCACAGCAGACATGAATGAAGGCAAATATACGTGTCCCGGGATAATGTTGCAGGATCCAATGTGGGTCTGTCAAAGGAACCAGAGGTTTCGTCTCATGCTGCAGCCCATCCTAATGGAAGTCCTCCCTCACCAGAATGTTTGTGAGAGACCTTTCTTGAGGATGGACCTCCAGCATGAGTCTGAAAGCTTGTAAGACAAAGCTCCTAGTCCGGGTGACCGACCCAGATTGGATCCTGCCACAGCAAACAGTTGATTTCCTGTTATTAGGATGAAGGAATGGAAGGTGTTTGATTCTTTATTGTTAATATAATGACACCTTTCCCTTGATTTCTGCTGGCTCTTCAAAAGACCTCTCACAGTCGCTACCAAATTTAACCAAATAATTCCTTCTGTGACAATCCACCAAACGCATTTGGTTGCACAGAGCACGCTAAAACGAAACAAACATGGCTGTGGTTTGGTATGACATGTCCAGGATGTCCTTCCATCCCTCGTACTTGCTATGTCTAAAGGAAATATCTTTTTATCTGTATTCAGTTCAGTGCCCTTGTTACAGTTCACAGACCCACCGAGCATATCAACATTAAAAACAACAGTCCAAAGTTCAGTAAAATAAGATAAGGGCATGAACAAAGTGGAAGGAATAAAACACTGTAAAATGAGAGGAACAATGCAGTACTCTGTGCCACCTAACTAGTCATCAATCCTGTATTTCCCCGAAGGATTCCAGGGTTGCAGATGCAGATTTAGTGAAAAGCTCATTTGTTTTAGGGGCTTTATCTGCCAGTTAGAAGAAAGCTGAGTAAACTCTTAATTCAGCTATCATCAGCCCTCTCTAGTGGGATTTTACATCTCTGCTGAGCTGCACCTAGAATCTTAGCCCCTGTCCTGGCTTAGAGAAAGCGGGTTATCAGACCATCATATTTTTTTATCCACTTGAGCATTATGGCTCCACCTTGACCAAGTTATGGTTCACCTTCTCCAGTGTAATGGAATGCATTAACTTTGAGGCAAGGAGAGAGGAGGCATTGCCTTTGTTGTTGTTAGTTGCGAAGTCGTGTCCGACCCATCGTGACCCCATGGACAACGTTCCTCCAGCCCTTCCTGTCCTCTACCATCTTCTGGAGTCCATTTAAGCTCACGCCTCCTGCTTCAGTGACTCCATCCAGCCACCTCATTCTCTATGTCATCCCCTTCTTCTGTTGCCCTCCATCTTTCCCAGCATCAGGCTCTTCTCCAGTGAGTCCTTCCTTCTCATTAGATGGCCAAAGTACTTGCATTTCAACTTCAGGATCCAGCCTTCTAAAGAGCAGTCAGGGTTGATCTCCTCTAGGACCGACTGGTTTGATCGCCTTGCAGTCCAGGGGACTGGCAGGAGTCTTCTCCAGCACCAGAGTTCAAAGGCCTCCATTCTTTGGCGCTCAGCCTTTAGGTGACAGTATTCCAGCTGAGCTATTCAAAACCTTAAAAAGACGATGCAGTAAAAGCGCTACACTCAATTTGCCAGCAAATTTGGAAAACTCAACAGTGGCCACAGGATTGGAAAAAGGTCAGTTTACCTTCCAATTCCAAAGAAAGACAATGCCAAAGAATGTTCAAACTATCGCACCATTGCACTCATTTCACATGCAAGTAAAGTTCATTAAATAAGAGTATACCAGGCTGGGAGAGAGTGGGGGTTCCTTGTCTCTTTACCTGGAAATCGCTTTCGATCTACGGTGTCCTAATCTGTGCATAAGCCCATGACGAAGGGTGAGGTGGGAAGAGCAATTTGGCAGAGGTCAACGGCTTCTTGACAGTGTTTGATTCCTCTGTCATTTTCTCCTTGAAGCAGCTGAGAAGACACCAGCCGTGGACAAAAAAACCAAGCTAACAGAAGGAACTTCCGGGCGGAGCAAGGGAACCCCTTTGGCGCAGGATCCCTCTGGTGTGTCTGTCACTGTGCATCCCCCACCTGGAGAGAGCAATGACGGAGAACAGGGTGAGAAGAGGATGAACGGGAAAAAGGAAGTGTGACGGAATGTGGTCTGGATTCCCAGAAAGGAGGGGCTGCTTTCTTGAGAACCAAGAGACGGCAAAGTTAAGATCAAGGGTATCCAACCTTGGCAATTTTAAGACCTCTGGACTTCAACTCCCAGAATTCCCCAGCCAGCCATGGTCTAGGGTTTCCTGCTTGAGCTGGGGGTTGGACTAGAAGACTTCTAAGGTCCCTCCCATGCTGGCTGGAGAATTCTGGGAATTGAAGTCCAGAGGCCTCAAAGTTGCCAAGGTTGGACGCCCCTGGTTGGGAGGAAGAGAGTCAAGAGTCAACTCTCTAGAAGTTCTCAGAGTATCTCTTTAATGTTGCAAGTAGTTTGCTTTAGTTGGGCAAAATTTCTGTCTATAGGTGAAGAACGATAAAGGAAACTCAACGTGCCTTTCTTGGTTTTTGGAGCCAGATATTAATCTTGGCAAACTCAGACAAGCACCTTCAATCACTAAAAATATACTCTGAGAACTTCTAGGAAGGAGCAGTCTTGACCCTCTTCCTCCTAGCTCAGGGCTAGGCAACCTTGGCTCTTTTACGACTCGTGGACTTCAACTCCCAGAATTCCTGAGCCAGCCACACTGAGGGGAAAGGGAGAGGTTTCCATGCTGAGCCATGCTGGCTCAGGAATTCTGGGAGTTGAAGTCCACGAGTCATAAAAGAGCCAAGGTTGCCTACCCCTGTCCTAGCCAAACTGTCTAAGCTTCACTGTCTCTTGGCTCTTTGGAATTCAGCCCCTCCTCCTGGGAATCCAGACTGCATTCCACTACAGGAAGATAATGAAATTATGTGATTTGGCAGCGTGTCTTCCCTCCTCCTTCACACCTTCTTCTGTTTTCCTTAGGATTGGACAGTGCGGGTCTAGCTGATTCAGGAGATTCACCGGTTGCTGAGCAATCTCTGGCTGGAGAGCAGCTCTCGCTGGATGAAAGCGCAGAAAATGAAAGGTGAGGGCAGGTGGAGGAGGGTGTTGATGGCCTTGCAAAGGGTGAGTTGGGGTCCTTATGAAGCCTACAGGTGGACATAACTTGTTTGGCAAATCTAGGCAGCTTTTCTCTGGGCAGTTGGCCAGAAGGATGTCCCACAAGCTTTGGGAGTTATATCTGGACAAACCTAGATTGTAAGGCTGGCCAGGAATCTAAAGACTAGGTCAATGTGTCCTTGGAGAGTAACAGCCATTCGATCTAGTGATAAAAGGTATCAGGCTAGAAACCAGGAGACTGAATTCTAGTCCTGCTTTAGCCATGAGATCCAGCTAGGTGATTTTGGGCCAATCACCAGGAGGCTGTGAGTTCTAGTCCCGCTTCATCTGTAAAAGTGAGCTGGGTGATTTTGGGCCAGTCCCCAGGAGACAGTGAGTTCTAGTCCTTAGCCATAAAACCAGCTGAGTGACTCAGAGTCAGTCCCTCTCTCTCTCTCAGCCCAGAATACCTCACAGGGTCGTTGTGGGGAAAATAGGAGGGTGAGATATGTTCACCACTTAGTGTTGTTTATAAAAATAATAATAATAAGGGGGTTAAATAGGTTAAAATAAAATAAATAAATACACAATTCCTGTTGTCACTTTGGCTACCTCCCGACTTATGTGGAGGTTGGTTTTCTACCTGGTTCCTTGGTGTTCAACTCACATTTAAACAGCATTTAATCCCTTCCTGAGATTTCATACGAGGTTTGCCCAACACCCCCCTTCCCCCCTTACCCACTCCTCCTTTTTCCCTTTTTCTCTCCTATCGGGATTAACACAATCACCCTTCTATATCCTGTTCTTCCCTTCTAGAAGGCGAAAAAGGTTGGTGGCTCCCTCACCCCCTACTCACCCTTTGCATGAATTTCTTCCTCAGGGGAAGACACACAAACTGAGTTAAGTATGACCTCTTTGTTCTGCCTTGGGAAGCCATGTCTCCCTTCCCGAATCGATGGCTGGAGGAAAGGTGCCCTTTAAACTCCAGGTCCCACCTGGCCCCGGGCGTTCCTTCTCTTCCCATGCATCTCCTTCTTGTGGAAGACCTTATTTTGAGCATGGACAAGGGGCAGGAGGTGGCCAGGGGGGGTATTGTCAACCCCCCCCTAAGAAGCAAGACCTTTTTTGGGGGGTGTAGCTACGGTTGGGCCCAGCCACAGGTTGGATCCAGCTTGCCCAGGAGTGTGTGTCTGCCTCGCAGAGTCACCCTCCCTTCTTCTGGTGCATGGATATCTCAGTTTGTTCTTGGGGGGGCATCTCACATCTCTCTCTCTCTCCCTTTCTCTTCCCACCGCTGCATGTGGCAAATTTGTCCTCCTCCTCCTCCCCCCTCCTCTCTTCCCCTCCTCTACTGCGTGTTCTCCGGTTGTGATCCCTGCCACCTTCTCGGTGTCAAAACGGTCTTTGTGACTCCTCTCCGTGTCGCTCACCATATCGTCTGTGGCTCGTCCCCCCTCTTTGTGATTCATTTCATCTCCCCTCCGTGTCACGTTTTGGCTTGTCAAACCCAACGTCCCTTGGTCTCGCGTTGGTGGTTGTTTTTTTTTTGTTTTTTGTGGTTTTTTTTTGTTATTATTATTTTTTGTCTGTGGCCTGGCTGTGCCTATCCCCCCACCCTTGCCAGGCTGTCAGGGAAGGTGGGCCGCTCGGAGAGCTTGCGGGTTTACGAGCGGAAGCGGTCTCAGCGAGGCTCGGCCAAAGGCAAACAGCCGCGTTCGCGGAGCGATGTGGACATTGAAGCCGCGGCCCGGGCCAGCGAGCTGGAAGGAAAACCAACTCTAGAACAGGCTCGGCAGAAGCAGGGAAGCCGCAAGTAGGTGGAGAGGCCGCCATTTCAGCTGCCCCGACGTGGGCAGAGAGGGGCGCATTGTCAAAGAATGACAGAGATGGAAGGGACCTTCTGGTCCAACCCCCTGCTCAAGCAGGAGACCCTGTGCCACAGAGGATCATCAATCTTGGCAGATCCCCCTGGAGATCTTGAGTAGCCTAAACAATGGATGCATTCCCAGGGATCGTCTCCAAGGATGGAGAGCGGGGAAGGTCCTATCTGTCTGCAAAAGAAATTAAACAATTGCTCCATGATTCCTTGACCCTGAAAGAGTTTGCAGCAAGATGAATGACAAACAAATTTAATTAATAAATAAACGAAAGAGAAGATGCCTCTCTCTCTCAAATGCCTTCCTCTAAAACAAGGGTGTCCAATTTGGGCAATTTTTAAGGCTTGAGGACTTCAACTCCCACAATTCCCCCAGTCAGCACATCTGGCTGGGGGACTTCTGGGAGTTGAAGTCCAGAGGTCTTAAAGTTGCCAAGGTTGGACACCCTTGCTCTAAAACGTGGGAGTAGGAAAGATGCAGCCTTTAAAAGAACCACTCTTGGCATCTTGGAGGGAATAAAATAGTCCAGCACAGCTCCTGAATCCGCTACGCCAGCTTCTTGTAAATATAATTTTCAGTAGATGTTGAAGTATAGTCTCTTGAGATTTAAATTAAATTCAGCCACCACTTTTTTCCTTTCGGCAACTATGACTGGGAGAAAGGCTTCTGTTGAATTGGGAGCTGTGCAGTGACAAAATGGTGAAAATCTGTCCTAAACTCTTAACAAAAACCCAGCAGCGTCTCATAGGTTTTCTTGAATTTGCCCCATTGTAAAATCCTAGGGGAAAAAAATGCTTCTGTGATGAGTTGAAGATGATTATGGTAGATGGTTAATAGCATTTTCTTAAGAGGATCTGCCGAGAGCATTTGCTTTTGGCACTTGGAACTGATCTAGCTTGCAAATCTGGAATTGCACTGGTTTAATGTGATGGATTTGGCCTGGAGACCAGGAGATCCTCGGCATTGAACCCAATCTCCTGACAAATTAATGAACACATCTGTACAGGTAGACCTCAACTTATGACCACAGTGGGGACCTGAATTTCCAACATTAATCATTGTGGTTGCAAATCAAGTTGGCCGAGTAAGTACAATTTTACCATAATTTTTATGGCAGTCATTAAGCAAATCGTCGCAGTTCTTAAGCGAATCACGTGGTGGTTAAATGAATCCAGCTTCCCTGCCAGAAATCAGCAAAAATGATCTCAAATTCCAACCATTTGATCCTAGGATCTCACAACTGGTCAAAAATGTGAGCCAAAGCGCCCAAGTTGCGATCACATAATCACCAGGGTAGTGCAACAGCTGCGAATGTGAGTACAGTTATAAGTCACTTTTTCTGAAGCTGTTGAAACTCTGAACCATCATTAAAACAATGGACACAAGTTGAGGGCTACCTGTATTTTTTTTTTTTTCTTGGCAAGATTTTGGAGGTGGTTTGACATTGTCTTTTCCTGGGATTCTTCTATCCCAGTTTAGCTCGTGCAATCTCGGGATTTCCTAGTGGTCACTTAATCCAGTTACAACTCTGCTTACCTTTTGCTAGATCAGGGGTAGGCAACCTTGGCTCTTTTATGACTGGTGGACTTCAACTCCCAGAATTCCTGAGCCAGCCATGCTGAGGGGAAAGGGAGAGGTTTCCATGCTGAGCCATGCTGGCTCAGGAATTCTGGGAGTTGAAGTCCACCCATCTCCGAGTGGCCAAGGTTGAGAAATACAGGCCTAGGCCAGGGGTAGGCAACCTTGGCTCTTTTATGACCGGTGGACTTCAACTCCCAGAATTCCTGAGCCAGCCACGCTGAGGGGAAAGGGGAGAGGTTTCCATGCTGAGCCATGCCAGCTCAGGAATTCTGGGAGTTGAAGTCCACGAGTCATAAAAGAGCCAAGGTTGCCTACCCCTGTTCTAGATCAACCATAATTGACTAGATGTTGCTACCACAGTGGGACCTGGAGCAGAGCAATCATGATCACTAGACTGTTGAAGGAGGGAGGGACAGATGGATAAGTAAACATGGGATTGTCCTGACTGGATCTTTTGTCTGTCACTTTGACTCCTACAGTTTGGAGCCTGGAGGGGCCGGGGGAGGGGAACCCCCGCCGTCCTTTCTGCTTCCCCAGTCTGAGGAGTTTGAGCCGCGTGTTTCGGAACTGGAACAGGACCCGCCAAACTGGCGGGAGCTTGTCCCCCCCGACACCCTCCTCAGGCTGAAGAAAAGTGAAGTGAAGCGGCAAGAAGTGATCAACGGTACGTGAGGAATTTCCATCAGCCCTGCTAGGTAGACCAGACTCAGAAACCTACGGAAGTCAGGTTGAGTTTTTACTGTAGCATCTAGAACATCTATTGTAGCACCTAGAACTCAAGGTTTCTTAACCTCATCAAATGTCTATGGATATTCTCAATCATCCAGATCATGGTTATCCCAAAGGTGCTTTTTTCCCCCCCTAAAAAGCAACTGAACTTTCTTGGTTTTTTTTTTCCTTGAAAACCTTTTGCTTCTCATCCAAGGAGCTCCTTCAGTTCTAACTGAAGAGCCGAAGAAGCTTCTTGGATGAGAACCGAAACATTTTCAAAGGAAAAAAAAAACAGAAGTCTAAGTTGCCTTTTGGAAAAACAGCATCGTTGTGTTAACCTCAGCAACTTTAAGCTGTGTGGACTTCAACTCCCAGAATTCTCTAGCTAGCATGTTTGTTACTATTAACAACCATAAAAAAAGGTAAAAAATATTTTGCAAGGTAAAAAAATACCAGGTAAAAAATATTTTGCAAGCCAAAAAGTCAAAGAGATGGGAAGCAGATAAAACAGACAAAATGAGAAAGCAAGGACTTTGCAAACATCATGAAAAGTTGTTTTTTTTTGCAGTCGCAGTTTGTTTTTTTTTTTAAAAAAATCTTTAATTAAAGTTTATGTTGAGATCTAATGCCAATAGAAACAAAAGTCAAGAAAGTTAAAAAGGAGGAGTGTAAAAGATAAGAAAAAAGAAACAAAAAGGTAGCAAATTCTGATTTTTTTTCCACCAAAGAAGAGTACAAGAAGAATTGGAACCTCAACCTTTTGCTTTACATTTCTAATTATTTCAGACCACTTCGGTAACCCCAAAGTCAATCTAGTCATTAAAACTTAAAAGCAAAGCTTCCTTTTTGTCCATATAATAATAATAATGATAAATTTGGAAGGGACCTTGGAGGTCATCTAGTCCAACCCCCTGCTCAGGCAGGAAACCCTATACCATTTCGGACAAATGGCTGTCCAGTTTCTTCTTAAAAACTTCCAGTGATGGAGCATTCACCACTTCTGGAGGCAGGTTGTTCCACTGGCTAATTGTTCTTACTGTCAGGAAGTTTCTCCTTAGTTCTAAGTTGCTTCTCTCCTTGATTAGTTTCCACCCGTTGCTTCTCGTCCTGCCTTCAGGCGCTTTGGAAAATAGCTTGACTCCCTCTTCTTTGTGGCAGCCCCTGAGATACTGGAAGACTGCTATCATGTCCCCCCTCGTCCTTCTCTTCGTTAAACTAGACATACCCAATTCCAGCAACCGTTCCTTATATGTTTTGTCAAGCATCAAATCTCAAAGCGGTTTCCAAGTGGAAACAAAAGTAGATAAATTCCTTTCCTTAATTAAGACTTAAATCTAAATTTAAGACTTAATTTAAGATTTAAATTTAACTTGGCCCTATCCGCCATTCTATCCCCTTAAACCCTCCGATCTTTCACTGTAGGAATTGATGTGTCTTTCCACCTCTGTGCGTACAAAAATTCTAATCGTAGTTAGACATTGCATAGATTTCCTAAAGGCTGGTTTTTCCTTCCATCTTTCCTACTTTAGAACTGTTTATCACAGAGCACGCCCACATGCGGATGCTCCGGGTGTTACTTGAGGTTTTCTATCAACCGTTGTTGACCGAGGGATACTTCACGGACAGCGAACTGGTGAACATTTTTCCCAGTCTGGAAGATCTTATCGACGAACACAGTGAGAGCACAGGAGCAAACGGGGTGGAGTGGAAGCAGGGCAGCTGATCCAAGGCTTCCAAGCTAAATTTACTGCACAGTAGTGGCCAAAATTGTGGAAACCTTTTGGGAAAAGTGTATTTTTGAGGTTGGATGGCTAATAACACCACTATTTCTTTGGAGCAGTACCATAAAATTATATATCAATGGAAAGATAATTTAATCAAGAATGTAATGCAACAAAGTTTGTTCAATTATCTGTACCGTATTCTATGAAAAGTTATAGCCAAATAAGCAGAAAAAGGAAGCACAACTTGCTTAGGTTGATCTCAGGTCGCTTTCCTTCCTCTGATGGTAGCCAATGAGCATGAGTGTTTAGAGAACCAATTGGGTGTCATCTTGTTTTGGCAATGAGCCAATCAGATCACTGTAGGATCCAGTGATTGATATCATGTATTGAAGCTGAGAGGAGGACATTTGTCAATGTGTTATGTGATCGCTATCAAGTTGGTTGGGTTTTTTGGTGTTCTTTCATTTAGTGAGCTTGTAAAACGTAATAAAATTAAAGCAATGGTGCAAAGAGTTGACTGGTTGCCCAGAAAGCGATGTAAAATAGTATTTATTAAGCGAACAAGGCTACAGTTATAAAGAAATTAGAAGAAAAAATGGGTGGAAACTTAACCAAAGGTGGCATTTCAACTGTGCACTTTTCCCAAAAGGTTTCCACAGTTTTGGCCACTACTGTATTTAGCAGGAATAATGGGAATTGCTGCGGTTGGTTGGACCCTTGTCGTGGCCTTTTTGCTTCTCTGTCTCATGCTTTGTCGCTTTCTCATCTTTTTTCAGAACTGTTTCTGGACAACCTGAAGAAGCTGAGGGAAGAAAATAACTTGATTGTCTCCGAAATTGGAAGCACTCTGCTGGCTAGAGTAAGAGCAGGTTTTAATCTGGGTTTAATACTTTGTGTGAAAGCAACTAGAAGGGGCGAAGCTGGCAAGGCAGGTTCTAATGATGCTTCTGCCAGACACAACCATTGAGTGCCATCTCTAACTCTCAAAACCAGCTAAAAATCAGACAAATGTCCACAGGCCCCGGACAGTGGGAGGGGAAGATTTGAGATTTAAGCCCCGGGGCTGGGAATGATATGGGAGGAGACCTTTCCATGGTTGATCTTCTTGCTATCTTTTCCCTAGTTCGATGGGTCTGAAGGAAACTGGTTTCAGAAGATCTCCTCCCGGTTTTGCAGCCGCCAATCTTTTGCATTAGAACAGCTGAAGGCAAAGCAAAAGAAAGAAGCTCGTTTCAACCAGTTCATTCAGGTAAGTGCTGAGAGAGGAGAGGAATCCGCCATTCCTGGGTCAGGACAGAGATGGGTGGGTGGATGGATGGACGGATGCAGTAAGTAGGTAGGTAGAGGATGGTTGGATTGAGGGATGGATAGATAAATAGGAAGGATGGGTAGATAGATTGGATAGGTAGGTGGGTGGGT